TGGCGGGAACAGCGGGGTCCAGGTGAAGATAAGAGATACATTTCCTCATGCACATTTCATCCACTTTGGACATTAATAAGAGAGAACAATCTGGAAGTCGCTCTGTCAGAAATACACAAAATTACAACTCCAATACCAACTGCCGAATCCGAGCGTTGTTTCAGCACTCCAAAAAGAGTTAAGACATATCTAAGTAACTCAATGGGTCAAGAACGTCTGAAGGCACTGGCTGTACTTAGCATTCCTAAGGACATGATTGCAGAGATTCCGGCACTCAACCAAAAAGTGATTGATTTGTTTGCTTCCCAGAAGAATAGACGAGCGCACTGCTTGTATAAGTGAGCTAACTTTTAAAGCATTATTTTAATTAATGGCATGAATTGCAATGGAGCATGCTGAAATTTTCTAATATTGTTAAGTGCAAAATATTTTCACATCTTTTAAAGTAGGAGTTTGTACTACAACTCGCATCACTGCTACATACTACTACTATTATTATAATATAACAACGTAAGAATGTATTAACTTTCTGACATTAGCCCCACCATTTATTTGAGCCACGAGCCGCCACTGTGGAAGACGAAGGCGAATAGTTGTCATAACCGTGGCGGTCCTTTGGTAAGGCACTGGCGTATGGTTTAGATACGGGTTTCGAATACATGACTATTTTTGTGAGAAAAAAATTTAAGAAATTTCAAATTCTTCAGATGAGAGGTTTGCACAGCTACATTTTGATGCTACATTTTAAGTTGCTTTCCATGAGGTTTAAGTCCACAGATGGCGTTAAACCTCATAGAAAGCCACGAAATGTAGTTAAAATGTAGCATCTTCCTCTCCTCTGAAGAAAGTTAATCACTTGTGGAGTAATGTTCAACAGATGGCGCTACAGTTTAATATATTTTCTTGTTACTCTCGGTGATTTATATTGATGTCTAGCTATTAACTTTCTGCGTGACTCCTAGAGCGGGTGAGGGTAGAGTCCCACGCTTCCATAGTATTCATATTCATTTGAAATAAAAACTAGCGCCATCTGTTGAACATTATTCGACAGATGGCGAAGCAGGGGACCGCTTCCATAGTATTCATACGAATATGAAATAATAAAAAGCGCTATCTGCTGAACATTACTCCACAGATGGCGAAGCGTGGGACCGTACCCACGACCGATCTTTTGGTCACGCAGAAAGTTAATAACTTCAGACCAAACTAAATCATCGAGAGTTAAGAAAATATGAATTAAAATGGCAGCGCCATCTGTTGAACAGATGTTGTAATGTTCAACAGATGGCGCTACATTTCAAAATATTTTCTTGTTAACTCTCGCTCAGTTAGTTTGTTGTCAAGTGATTAACTGTCTGCGTGATTATAAGGGTGGTTGAGGGTGGGGTCCCACGCTTCCATCCTCAGTATCTCCTGCCCTACCCTATAAAATGAATTCTTCAAAGGAGCGCTTTGCACAGCCCAATCAGATACCAAGATGCTATATTTTAACTACACTTCGTGGCTTTCCATGAGGTTTCAATCAACAGAATGCGCTGCAGTTATATTACATTTTCTTGCTAAATCTCGCTCATAGAATTTGGTCTCAAATGAATAAGCCAAAGTCACCCCCTAAGGGCGGGTGGTTGGTGGGCCAAAGTTTTTTTCTTTTTGATCCCATGTGGATTTTAATAAAACCCGCTTAGGTTGAGTGTCTTAATGAGCGGCCGCAAAAAGCAAAAATATTCCCTCACCCCGGTCCCTCCCTCCCTCCCTCTCTCTCTCTCTCCCTCCCTCCTCCTTTACCTTACCTCATAATTTCTTTCCGTTTTGTTTTTCACAAAAATCCTGCTCGTTTTGAACCAGGGACCTTCTGAACACTAGGCTGATGTGTTACCCCTAGACCACCGGCACCACTGAAATTTATTTTCTTTAATCTTCCTCTTAACCTACATCTTCGGTTATAATTCCAGAAAAATCACATTAACTCCATTTGTATTTTATAAAACTTTTGTTGTTTCCGAACCTTGGAACTCCTGCACATTAGGCCAGTGTCCTACCTATCGGCCACCGATGCCACGGATTTTTTTTTTATCTTTAACCTTCCTCTTATGTTACATTTCGCTATATAATTCCAGAAAAAAATCTCATTACAAAAATACTTCTGTTTTCGAACCACGAACCTTATATTTAAAACTCCGGTGCCTTACCTCTCGACCACCAGAACATCTATGCTACCGCCTTCTGCGATCCTCCTCGTATTCTACGACTTGGTTTATAGCTGCAGAAAAATCGTATATATTTATTCACTTTTCAATTTCACTTGACAAAAGACACCGTGGTCTCGAACCCGGTACCTTCCCAATACGACGGCAATGTCTTACCCCCGTACCACCAGATCTATACAAATTTGTTACCTTCACCTTCCTCATACAGTACGACTTGCTTCCTACATGCACAAATTTCTTAAATTTTTTTCTCACAAAAATAGTCTTGTATTCGAACCCCGTATCTCCTAAACCATACGCCAGTGCCTTACCAAAGGACCCTCACGATTATGACAAATATTCGCCTTCGTCTTCCACATATCCTACCGCTTCGTTTCTACCTTCACAAAATTCCTCTTTACTACTTGCTTCGTTTCAAAGTCATTTTACGACTGACGGTTGGCCAGTCTCTTCTCTTAATTTAGAGCCCATTCAGACGCTAATGACCAGATCTTAGTCTTGAAGTAAGCATCACTGTTTGGCCTTTAATAGGAATTCTTTCTGATGACAAGACGGGTCTATCCCTTCTCACTTGTCACAGGCAATTACGTTCTATATTTCGTCCTTCCTCATCTAAACTACATGTCATGACCTCTACAACTATACATATATACTGCACATGGCTTTATTTGCAATATATATATATATATTCGAATTTCGATTTCCACGAATTAAATATGTATAGTGACTAGCCCCACCACATAAGAAAGCTACGAGCCGCCACTGCATATCAGCTTAACTCTGTTATGTCTGGCCAGTTCTGTGAGTGATTGGTGGCAATCCCAAACCAATTTTGAAGTGACTTCGTGTGTACCAAGTGCTTTGACTGCAGCTTGACTATCTGATAGAATGATATTCCTATTTTTATAGTTTCTATCTAAATTCTCAACTGCGCATGCCTTAATGGCGTACACTTCTGCCTGGAATACTGTAGTACACTGACCGAGGCTGAAGGTATGCTTCAGCATCGTTCATCACAATACAACCCAGCTCCAGTGCCTTTATTTGTCTTGGAACCATCTGTATACCAGATTAGTCCCCATTTCTATCGGGTTGAAACCCCTTTCCATTCACTTCTATCAGGAAATCTGATCGTGAAGAGTCTATCATAAACATGTTTCGGTAGCATTTCATCAGATCCCATCTGTAGGGTGGGTTCCTTTTGCATGTCCAATACCTTCAGATTTAGTTCTCCATTGATAATTGCAACTTAATCTGTAATTTCCTAACTTGGCCTCTGCTTCCATCTGCAGATGCTGTGGGGGGGAGTCCTAGTAGGATTTCAATTGCAGCTGTTGGAGCTGTTCTCATTGCGCCAGTTATTCCCAAGCAGTCCGTCCTTTGCAATTTGCTTTTTTCTTTATTTCTAGTGGGGTGGGACTAAGTCCCTTATACTGCGGCCACTTCTGGCCTATTGTACCAGTTGCAGATGACAGGTGAGGGTGATTGTGGAGCAATTGGTGGAATGACGATTGGCAGGGGAAACTGAAGTACTCGGAGAAAACCTGCCCCAGCGCCACTTTGCCCACCACAAATCCCACTTGACCACACCCGCGGTCGAACCCTGGCCGCCGCGGTGGGAAGGCAGCAACTAACTGCTTGAGCTATGGCGCAGCCTAGCAGGAAGTAACTTCGATAAGGAGCGCAGTGAGACGGAGGACCACAGATTAGTGCACATCATCAGTGAATGAGTTACATGCATAACTGGCACCATAAAAACATACAAATAACAAAGAGCAAAGGAGAAAGTGGGAAACATAAAGACATTGATAGATTTTATCATCTCCGTATTCTAACTTTAATTTGCATTCTGCATGTGTTCACAGAGACAGTTTCACATTACTGTAAGGTAAAAGGTAAAGTTGTCCCTGTATGCCATGAAGGCGTATGGGGGAATGGGTCCAATGGATACCGGCGGCTCTTTCCACGGGTGTAAAGCAGCTGGGGCGTGAAGCTGATCACTCACCTGCAACTAGTACCGATCTATACATTCATTCATATTACTGTATTTTAGTGATTAATTATTTGTGCATGTTCACCCTAGCTCTATGCTCTTACTCCTCTCGTGTTTAGAATTTGACAGTTGATCATGTTTTAGAGTAACTGTAATAATAATTATGAATTAGAGTAAAAGATATTAATAAGAGGAGTGATGGGAATCCAGCTTTATGAAGCAAAGATTTCCATTTCACGAGGAGGCAACATTGTGCCAAGGGTTTCTGAAGAGAAAGCAATGATTTAGTTTTATGTATGTTTGGGAAACAGGTATGGTGAACTGTAGTCTCGTAATTTAGGCAGAGAATTCGCTACTAGAGCAAGAAAGTGACTAATTGCAAATGAATGCAGTTATAGATGAGCAGTAAGGGAAATAAATCAATTTTTGAATATAAACCACAGAACTGTCTTTGTGATAATATACTACAATGCAGTCAAGTTGTTCCTGTGTCCAAACTGTGGGAAGTTTCAAATTTATTTTTTAGTATTAGTTTTGCACATTTTGTTTCATGTTCCGATGACTGTGTTGTTATTTCATATTGTTACATTTTAGTCACTTATTGGCACTGCTGTCACTATGTGTTCCAGCCACATGCAGCCATCAACAGGTATGTCTACATGTTGTTCTGATTGAGTGCCTATATCCTCTTGCTGGCTGATCACAGTGGCCGTCAAGTCTCAGGCATAAAATATCTTCACACGCTCAAACACTTGGATTGTGTGTTTGAACCCCACTTGAGACATGGATGTTTTGTCTTCATTTATTCTGTGTTTATGTTGTCCTGTGCAGGTACCAGCCTTGTGTCAAACTGATCCCCGTCCAAGGATCCCTACTGACTTTTTAAGATTAAGAAAGTGAAGGAAATGCGCGTTTCGTGGATGCTTTATGCTCCTAGAGGGAGCAGAAGGAATGGATAAATAAATGAGTGGGTTGACAGATGGATGGATAGATTCTTGTTGAGTATAACATTAATTGAAAATAAAAATTAACAAAATTAACATTGATAGGTACAATCAAAATAGGTGTATTCCCCATTGAAGGTCACTAAAAGTAGTACAGGTCACCATACTTGGACTCATGGTGTACTTAGTTTGTGAACACTGTCAATCAGATATTCAGGCCATAATAAAAATAATAATAGGAGATAGCCACATATACCAACAATTTCCTCTGCTCATATCCTTACTGGCTGGTGACTCTCTCACAACTAACTCAACTGATGATGGTAGCTAACTCAAAGTCAAAGTCATGTTATGACCAACTGTCAGTCGGCCAGTCTGTCTTGGTATCAAGCCCCATCTGGGGCCCAAGACCAGATTTTTGTTCATGTCAAACATTTGTGGGTTTGTTGATGTGGGCACCATCTCTGATAGGAGTACAGGTCTGCCATTTACAACTGCTGCTGGCCCTCGCTAGTCCAGTCATTCTCAGGTCAGAGTACAGTGGGACTCATGACCATATTCTACTGTCTCAGATTTGAGACTCCCCAAAATAAACTGCTTCCAACTGTACTGTATAGTACATGTTGTAACTGATCTGCCAACCCCAGTTTGATTTTATTCGGTAGCGTGCATTGATCCGTATTAATTAGCATGTTCGATTTACTTGTAACGTACAGCAAATGGACGAGAGGTACATAGATTATTTCTTGCTCTCAAGAAGGAGTTCTAGCCCAACTCTCAAATGAAAAAGACAAAAGAAAACGACTGGTCAACTCAGATGAGAAGTGAAACAGGAAGGACCCCCACATCGTTGGTTCTTAGAAAGTTACATGAAATTTTGCTTGTTGGAGTCCTTTGCGAATACGATATGTGACAGTTTTAACATCGTAACTTAAAGATGTGAGTTCCATCAACCCGAGCCAAGCTTAACATTTGTCATGCTACTGACAGAATGTATATTAAGTCTTTCGAGTCTAAATTCCCTGTAATCCTTAAACCGATTGGGGGAATCAGTTTTATAAAATTATATATAGAACTGATAATTTATTTTATAAATATTTACTTCACTGAAAGTTTTGGTCTTACAAAAGCCATCATGATGTGGAATCGGTAACACAAGAATTGCACAGATTATGGCTATCTAGAGGAGACGGGAGAACTCAGTCAGTATAGCCATGGACTACAAACCGGACAGCTGGTGTTCGTTTTCTGGCAAGGACAAATAATTTCTCTTTACTCCACAATGCCCAAATCAGTTCTGGGACCCACCCATTCTCCTATACAATGAGAACTAGGGACTCTTTCTGGGAGGTAAACCTGCTGGGGCATGAATCTGCTCGCACACCTCCATCTAGTGATGAGGTCAAAAATGGTGGAGTTATATTTCCACTTCCCCACATATTTTCATGGTGTGGAAATTAATTAATTAAGAACAGGGAAACTTTACATTTACCTTCTTAACTATTCATACTGGCTTAACAGATATTACCTAGTGTTGGATCCACCAGCAATAAAATTTGAAACTCTCTCATCCAAAAAAAAATGTGGAAAAAATACTAGTCTCTTTACTGAGTTGTGTGAAAGGGCTGAGGGAAGTAGAATACTTCAGTAAGATTGCTGCTGCTGTGCCAGCAGGGCACACTACTAAGGAGGTCAAATGTGAAACCCAAATGGAGCTGGAAAGTGAGTGAGTCAGGTTCATTTCGGATATAGCATTCCACACAGGAGGACTGAGAGTCCTATGACCCTGCAGCTTCCTGCAACTGTTCTGCCTGAATGAAACCTTGGGAAACCACAGCTCATCATACAAGCTGTCCTAGGTTTAGTCACATGAAGCTCAGTAGAAAAATTTAGTTGGTTAAAATGTTTAATTGATACTTCATTATCACATTTACTTCACACATAAATTATGTTAAGTATGAATGTAAGATGTATTTTGGACAAGGATAATGGAATGAACTAGCTAAATGTGACATGTGAATTTATGAAAATTTCAATTAAATAGATTTCTAGTATATTTTTGACCTTTGTATGATGGTAATTTAATGTTATATGATTTTTGTTTTTCTTTAATGCCTGTAAAACTGTTTACTTATAAATGTTTTATAGGTAAAAACTTAATACTTTGGAGAAAACAAACGCACATGTTGCACGAACTGCTCACCTCCATCCCCAGTAGCTTGTGCTTAGAAGGTTGGTCAGGCAATAGAGTTATTCAAATGCTTGCTTGTTATTATTTCATTATCTATGTTAGGAAGCAGTTGTAAATAAGAACATAAGATGGCAAAAATTAACGGAAGTGAAAGGTAAGCTGATTCAGGATTGCAACGCCCACGTTACCAAAAGTTCATAGCATACATGCAGATAACACTGTTTCATATGCTGTTCTTCTACCAGGTTCTGAATCTTAGTACAATTGTGGCTGCCCTTCCAGAACTGAAGGTCATAGCATGCACATTCACTGAAGTCACGATTTCAAAGGGCTATAATGCACAACAGAGGTTCACAGTGAAATAACAATGTGACCATGTGTGATGTTGATAGCCACAAAAATGTCCCATTGAAATTTCAGTGAGCTTCATGCTAGTTTTGATTTTGACAAGAAAAATCTCAACAATCCTGCCACAAATCAAAGATCAAACATCCATTTTGTAGACAGTCGCTTTACTGAGAAACTAACTCCACCATGCAGTGACTTCCTTGAAGTGATTCCTTGCCGTTATGAAATCAGAAATGTCAACCCTGTTATCACAAAAGTTCAACGTGAATCCTTGCATTCTATATTTACAGGCCAACAATAATAATTCTGAGTAGAAGGACATGTGCAAAGTTGCATGTTTTCTACATATTTATGAAGCACAGCACCACGTGGAAGAGATTCATTTGTCAGGTGTCACACGGTCAGCACTTGTCTACTTCTTGCCATATCCTTGAGAGAAACCCGGCTTGCTCTCAGTGTCAACATTCCCCAGATCCTGCTGTTGCTGCTGTCTAAGGATTTCATTCAGTTCATTCCTTACAAGTTCATCCACAGGACGACCCAGGATGCTCTCAATCCAGGCAACATCTATCCCACTAAGTACAGTTGGGCTGCTGGGGACATTACAGCCAACATCCCAGCTGTATAGTCCACTCAGCACATGATGGCCATCTCCTTGATCACAGGCAATTGGACCACCCACATCAACCTACACAAAGAAGGATAATTTCTTTTTAATATAATTTCCCTTACCAAATCTCATTTCAACTGAAATCTCAGTGTGCTACACAAAAATATCCCTGAAATTAAATTTTAATCACTTTGTGTTTAGTTTCAGTCTGGTAAACAAAGGATATCACTCGATAAACCCATGCAGACCTATGGGATTACAGACTGACTGACATGCTAATTATATAACCCAGGAGAGTTATTAAGACACATCTACTGCTGGGCTATGATGATGATGTGAATCTACTGGGAGCTAACATAGATACCATAAAGAAAAACACAGAAACTTTAATTAAGCTAGGAAGGAGGTTGGTCTAGAAGTAAACGCAGAGAAAACTAAGCATATGTTGCTGTCTCATGACCAGAATGCAGGGCAAAATCATAATGCACAGATAGCTAACTAATCCTTTGAAAATGTGGCACAGTTCAAATATTTGGGAACGACAGTAACATATCGAAGTTTGAATCAGGTGGAAGTTAAGAAGAGACTGGATTCTGGTAACTCTTGCTACCATTCAGTCCATAACCTTCTGTCTTCCCATCTGCTGCCTAAAAACATAAAAATTAGAATATACAAAACTATAACTTTGCATGTGGGTCTGTTATACGTCGTGTTATATTAGCCAGTGGGCAACGACGTGAACACAGAAGCTGAAAAATTTCCATGTTTAAATAAGTTACCAGGAAACGACTAGTGAAACAGACTGAGGAAACTTAATGTGTGCTCTAGTAATTCATAAAATGTGGAGATTAGTGAGGGCGCTATAATTGCTTGTATTTACAAGTTGTGGGTATAAGAGGACAAAAAATCGTGTCACCAATGCAAATCCTGTCTATAGTCACTAATATACGTGACAACATTTTGAAATGATGGGACCTCTGCTTCCATGTTTCTTAGTTCTATGTGAAGGTACTGATATCCTGTGGGTCCACCAGCTCATATCTGTTCTAATGCCATTTCATCTCCTGTTGCTTCTCCTTGTGTCTTATTTCCAAATCTAACATTTTAACTACTTCATCTTCTATATCTGAGGCTTCTTTATCTCCATACTCTTGCTCTGTTCATCTTGTGTCTCTTCCATTAATAACTTTTCCATCCGATATCTTATTTTCTTTACTGCCCTTAGTGTGGACTGCAGCAAGAATTGGCCACCAGAAGAAAGATGACCCACCGTGCATGAGTGGCACGGGGCAAGGGAAACGTTGTCAGAAGACATTCAACTACGGACAATCTTGAACAAGAAACATGGAAAGGACGGAGGAGAATAGACGCTGGAAAGACCCGGAATGCAACAACGGCATAAGAGACCGAGGCCTATGACAGCAGCTACGAGGCAGCAAGCGAATAAAGAACCAAAGCATGAGACAGCAGCTGCATCTTAAGATCAAGAGGACATCAGATGGGTTCAACAGGGAGGCTTTCGGACTGGAGCTCATGAAACGAGCAGTAGGGATATCCAGTGGGTTGCGCCAAACCAGAAACCGGAGGGTACGGAGGGTTGGCCCTCTTTGAAGCGAAAGAAAAACCTACTAGTAGCATTAGCGTAAGAGGAGGAAAATAAGAGGGAGCACTGGCCACTCCAAGCATTATGACCCCCACTGATGGAAGTTAGAGAGAGAGAGAGAGAGAAAGGAAGAGGAACTTTGGATGATGATGATGAAACATCTGGATCAACTGGCACATTATCATGGAGCTGCTTGAGACAAGCAGCCTTAAGGAGTAGCAGATAAACGGTTGGAGAATAGTTGCCGCAAGAGGAGCCAAACCACAAGAAGACACAACCAGTTGGAATCCACACATCCAACGATACAACGCACGCAGCCACAAGAGTAGAACACATCATAAGACACAATATACACACAACATTAGAAACATAAGAAGAACGACCCCCATGTGGATGATTAATAATACACATGAATTTTAAAAATATGACATATATGACAATGGCTCAATAAACACATTCGCATGAATATGCGACAGTGGAAACTGTGTTCACTGTGGGCTATGCTATAACTAGTTGCTAGGTGACTTAATACTGCTGACAACAGAAGAGAGTGTTTTCTATGTGGTCCACGCCATGACCACTGCTATGCAACAGCTCAGTACACAAACCTCCAGAACAGACTGTTTTCTGTGCAGTCCGTGCTGCGGCTATATAACGAGAGCTGTGAGCTGAAAGTTTAGAGTGATAATGACAGTTCAGTGACAGTGAGAGCGAACTAGAACTAGGAGTGGAGAGTTCAAGTTCAGGTTCAAGATAAAATTAGTTCATTGCAGTTACGAATGACAGAACCAGTTCAGAGCAGAATTCCTGAGTTACAAGTGAATAATAGCAGTGAAAGTACACGAACAGAGGCAAGAGGAAACCTGTAGTGCTGGACAGAAGGCTCAGCTAAGAAACAGAAGATATATTAATCAGGTTGCATTGTGTGGAAGACTTTATTTTTGAGTAATTGTAATTTTAATTGTAATCAACTTATCCAATAAATTGCTTCATCTAATCTGGAACCCATTAACTTCTTATTGTGTTAGCAGGATACATGACAAAAAATAACTTTCAATTTTTATCAACACTTTGATTGTCTAGTGGAATATGAAATATGTAATCGATTTGTGTAATTTTCTTCGTAAGCAAAGTGACAATTTTATTAATTAAAATCAAGTAATAAAAATGAGCTAGCTATTAAACAATAAATATAGAGTTGCTGATCTCAAAAATTTATTTTTATTGTGAACAAAAGGGAGATCTGAAATAAACATTTACAGTTGTGCATTGGTAGCTAAGTATGTGTAGTGAAGCTTCTGTAAGCTGAAATATGAAGCAGATTGAGTGGTACGGAATTGACATCTAGTGAATTTGTTAGGAGATGCATACAGTAGAAAGTCCATGACTTCAATGGTTATTTTATAAACTGACAGCCAACACACTGTTCTGCCATCACACCTTCTGACTTTTAAAATATCTGCATTTCACCTTCTAAAAACTTATTTTGTTTATGAGAGGAGAACAGAATATAGCTATTATGCTTGAAACTGAGGACACTGTGTCTTGATGAACAAGAACCTTCTCTGATTAAGGTCGGGGAAGGAAGGATGAAAGAAGACTGTGTACCCAGAAAGACTGTGGGTCAATGCAAGATACTCTGTACAAAAAAAATGGAAATGTAAGATAGTTAAACCCGAGGGTAAGCCTCTGGCAGAACTGTCTAACTTTTGCCAACCTCCCACCTGAATCAGTAATGGATGAGGACAGTATATCTTAGCAAATCAGAGAGAAGAAAAATTATCCTAAATCATGAACAAACGAGAATATGCAAGAGTGGCTTATAACATGTCATGAAACCATTAAAGAGGATATGTTAAAGAAAGATTAATGGATCTTGTGAATAGCATCTGATGGGAATATGAAATATGCAACACTGATGAAATATCTAAGGAAATGAGGCATGCAGTTCTCCAATTACTTCCATATCATTATGAACTGAATCCTGTTGAGCTTGTGTGGGCTGAAGAAAAAATGATATTTCCATGAGTACAGCAACTTTTCAACTTCCAGAATAAAAAGATTAATTCATGAAGGATTCCATACTGTAAGTATTGAGATGTGGAATAACTATACTAAACATGTCAGGGTAGCAGAAACTGCCATTTCAAAAGCTGATGAAAATCAGGACAACATAAAGCCATTCATCATTCAACTTGGTGAAAACAGTTCACTGTCTCATGACTGACTTCATGAAGCAACTGATTAGCATAATGGTGATGATTAAGTGATGAAAACTGTATAGAAACAAGACCAAAATAATATGGTAGAAGGCCTGGAGACAATATTCCACTTCTGACATCTTTTCCTTGTTCTCCTTTGTACAGATGGGATAACACCTTTGTAACAATTTGTACAGGTAGGTCACATAACAGCAATCTTGCAGTTGATGATATGGTAAGAGAGGCCTGTTTCCAGATACTGTGCTAAATTAGCTTGCATTTTGACGGTACAAAGACAGCTTGCATTCTGCTGTTGTGTCATAATATTGTTGTCTATTTCTATTGTCAGCTTCTACGATAAGGGTATGAATCACACAGATTCCAATCACCCACCTTGCATAAATCTTGTGACTGTGCAGTTGGTAAAGCACATTGGAAGGATGGGTTTAAAATGAAGTAGCGTCCCAGGTGAGTCTGTCGGAGGATATCCTCACATGTTGAGTGAGGGATCAGCCTCACAGGTACTTGGTGGAGAATGCTGCCAGGAACATTTCCTGTAACAAGACAATAATTTGTTAGTTAGGGCGTATGCTTATGGTATTATTATGTCCGTGGCTGCGTTCATCCCCAATAATAACTTCCGTACCTAATTATTTATTCTCATAGTGATTTGTATAAATTCTGTGTCACATGAAGTCAACTGATCTTCATATTTCTTGATCTGGTAGCAATTGTAACAACATGATGGTCATAAAAATTGTAGCAGAATGATAAATGTGCCCTTTAACACTGTCATTGCTTTGCATTACTGTGAGGGCCTTGTACCAAAAATGATCATACTCATAAACATTTCAGCAGTAGATGCATAACTGTTCATCTACCAGTTGCCATTTTTGGGCTCAAGTCTTGTTCCATACCTTGCAAAGCCTTCTTGCCCCAGCCAGTAGCAATACACGTGCGCTGGAACTGTGTCACATCCTGGTCTTTAGGCGGCAGGCAGATCTTGTCAATGTGATCATCAAACTTCAGCTGTTTGCCCAGAATAAGCACAGCTAAGTCATTGAAAAAGGAACCAGCATCAAAACTTGGATGCCGGGCAATGGCAGCCACTTGAACCACCTGTATGGGCTTTGGCTGATCACTGGAAAGGAGTCGCCATGCTCCAACCTCAACAACTATGTCACTGGACTCCAAACTGGATAACAAAACAGATTTTTTCGTTGGACAATCATTTTTATTGTAGTAGGCGAAATGTGCACCAAGAGATACTTATCCACAATATTACAGTCAACAAACTTCCAATCTGAGAGAACTGTAGTTCACATGGCAGTGACATCAAAGATTACTCTCCCTTGGGATGTTATGCCATGCGGTCTGGTAGCTATCTCCCAGTATTTTGAAGGAACCTGCTGCAGGGCAGAAGAATAAGCCATGCAGGAGGCAACCCTGCAGAAGGAGGTAGCTATTTCCTCCAAAACACTGATACCAAACTACATGTCATCACATTCCATAAGACAGGAAACTTCCTCCACGAGTCATAAGAATGTGAGAACTCAAGGAATATGTCATCATTTTCTAATTGCATGGCTGTTATTAGCATGAAGCTTAAAGAAAGACATCTTTCAGATAAACAGTGTAAGGATTAAGATATTAATCAGAATACATGGAAAATATTAATGGCCCATGTCAGTTATTATTAGGAAAATGAGAACAGCTCAGTTTTCAACTTTGCATCTATCAACACGATTCCTTGATCTGTCACTGATTTAGCCACTGCTTATGTGCACTTTAATTTATATTACATGTTAACTTTTTGATTAATATGCTTCTTTGTATAATATTACATTGCCAGATAACAGCTCTGTAAACATGATACCTTCCAATATAGTGGAGCAAGTTGTGTTTTCCGTGTGTCTGGTAGCTGGCACAGGAGTGCCAGTAGGTGGCCATCACGTGCCATGTGTTCCCTGCATGTCCGTCAGATTGTGGATGTGCCGTGATGTCACACAGTGGGGATGGATCACGTGATATGTGTTTACTGTTGGTCGCTGTCAGTCCCTCGGCTACATAAGTGAGGAGAGTTCAGTTGAGGGCAGTAAAGAGAGAAACAGCAGCTGTGGAAGCATGCAAGTGAGTGAATTGGAACTAGTGAAAACTAATGGAAATAGACTGAGAAGATTTGAGTGGAAAGACCGGGAGGATTCAGCACAAGGGCAAGAATGGAGCATGAATTGTGAAGATGGAGTACAGATTAGGACAGAGGAGTACAGAGTGATTAAAGACAAGAAGCCTTCATAGTGATTTGAAGTGAGTGTGTCTGTGTTGAGATCCGTTGCTAGGAGATGGCTAATGGAAACAGAGAATCCTAGTGCGTGTGCATCTGCGAACTGTAAATTGTGTAAATCAGCAAGAGCACTATATTTATTTCTAATTAAGAGAGGTTGTAACCGGAGTGCCAATAAATCCAATCATCTGAACTGAAACCTGTCATTTCATCATGTGTACCACCCTACATGTGACAATATATAATATGAAAGTGGTGTTAGTTAATTTGAATTAACCCCTGCAAAAGTGTCCAGGATGGCTTGGTTTCATGTTTTGCAAAATTTTACCTGCCAGCAATTTTGTGTTCTCTTTATTATGCGGATAGGTCATTACAATGTAAATGTCATGTGTTCTTGCGAATGGGGTGTTGGTTTATCGATTTCAGTGAATGTTTTGAAAAACTGAAATTAAATGTGCCGAATTAGAGTCTCCTATATGTAATTTAAGAGTATCTGCTAGCCTTCTATGTCCAATCAATGACATAGTTCTGCTTGTAAAAGAAGCCTACATTGGTTCACTGAATAAATTCATTCAATAATAATTCTATAAAGTTACAATGACAACAGTACTTATCAGCACTAGTCTAATTGCCAAGCTAAATATGCCCATGCATTTAGGATTTGTGTCTCACAGCAGTGGTTATAAAGAGTTTTATGTTTTTGGCTAAATGCCATAAAGTCCGTTGAATGTCAACCAACATTTTGAAGAAACATATCACCTCCACCTTCAGGCCTAAAGAGTAAGCCAAGTAAGAAACCAGTGTGAAACATGCTTCCCTTGCCAGCTGCTTCACGCTGGTTATAATGTATCCCAAAAAAAAACATCACTTCATGCCAATCAGGTTATTACAGCATTGGTTTTTCAGCTTGTGGTCTTCTGGTTTGTGACATCTTGTAGGTGGATACAGACTTCAATCCTGAAATTGTAAGCTGCATATTCCTCCAAAATATGTGTCTGAAGCGCATATCTATCATTTACAGTGATTATACTTGAACTTTCTTTTTATGCTGTTTCATCCTGTAGCATAAACTATGACTGGTACATGTACGAGTAACTTCTTTATTGAGTTTCATTAATGGGTTACATGTTTCAACAGCAAATGTTTCACCACCACAAATATCTGATACAAAGCATACTGAAATTGTGCATGATATTTGTACATGCTTATATTTTATCATTCAAAAAAAAAAAGTAAAGCTATCCCTGTACCAGGCCGTGAAAGCCCATAGGGTTGTGAGACATTGAGGGTCCCACACTATCTAGACAATTGGCTCATAGATGGCGGTAAGGTTGTCAGCCTTATGCGCCGGCCGTGCTTTACTCCCCAGGAAAATTATTTGATTAATTCCTGGTACTCATTTTTGTTAGAGGCTGAGTAAATGCCAGGGCATAGTGCAGCTGGAAGGGTTAGGTCAACTGAAAAAAATCCAATGACCTCATCGGGACTTGAACCCGCGACCTTCCGGCTTGTAGCATAGCTCTTCAACCAACTACACTACCACATGCCCCCTATATTTTATCATTACATGCTAAAAAGTATTTACCTTTTGGGCATTGGGCATTTATTGGGCATTGCCTTAGCACACAAACTGTCTGTTTATTAGAAAGTGAAGTACAACAAAAAACTGAATTCTCCTCAAGAACTCTTAGCTGTCATGTTTATGGTGTGTGTTACTTTCCTACACTGTGAATACTACATAGCCAGGAGTACAACACCTAGGAAAAGAAAGGGAGTTCAGTTTTATTATATTGTGCACACAGTTTAAGTAAATAGATTGTTCATTTTGTAAGAAACCAAAGTGGATTCATTTAGGTAAATTCATTCTTAACCTTTGAAGATAAGGTAACAATGTGTATATGTTAGAATGGCATATTGTATTCCCCTGTAACATACTTAGAGCCAGAGATTTATACACAAATAGCTGGGTCTGAGTGTGATGAATTCAACACTGAAACATGTAACCCATTAATATAGTGAAGACACTATATGCTGTGTTGACTGAATGAAATATATTGTGTCAATCATGCATGAATATATGTATTTTGCAAGCATTAGATTGAATTCTGTTCTTTTACACACTACATCAGCTCATGGCAACACAAGTGAAGCAAGGACCAAATGAAATCTAACCCCCCCAGTACCAACATTTAAGGAAATAGATCATTTCGAAAAAGAGGATGAACCCCCTGTGACTTGTAACCAAATGTCTTACTTCTGTTGGTAGAAATGCAGTTTACCCTTGAGTTCAGGGGGATTGAGGCATCAGTAAACTTATCTGTGACCTCTATAATTCTTGGGTCAATTGCATAGATGGATGGGTCCTCCAGGACTTTTTCTGTGGAGGCAGCCAGAATATTTCCTTACATTCTCGCATTCAAAGAAGAAGTTGTTGACAAATTTACAGCAATTTTTGTCAATGTGGTTTGTCAAAAGTTTTGGTATTCAGGATATAAGAACACATTTGTCAACAATAATTTTAATTTGTAGCACTCATAATTCTCCTTTGAATTTTGATTTCCAGGAAGTGGAGGGGACAGATGCTTGGTGAATAAAAGAAATACAGAAGAATATAAGAAGATTAAGTAGGGGAGGAAAAGGGGAAGGAAAATTGATATCCATCTCTTTTAATTTTCTGGGAAAATAGAATCCTTAAGTGATATAATATGAGATATGATTACAAGCTGTCTGTGTTGTCAGAACCAGAATGAAATATTCATACATTGTTCAGAATACTCACTTGTGAAGGCAATTTGCAGCTGTGATCACAGCCTTGTCTGAGATAACTGCAGCACTGCAGAGTGCGCTCTGGTTTGAATTTGATAAGACCAGTGCTTGCCATGGAAACTCGCCAAATCCTGAATCTGTATCACCCAAGCCTTGTCGTGACACCTAAAGCGACACAGCCATCCATCCATATCAGCAACCAGAATTCCAAAATTCTAATGGAAATTGAGACCATCTCCCCACCATATTCATTCTTGTTTAATTTAGTTGCTGTGTCCAAGATGTAATGTCTTCATTGGTTGCATCCTGTTGTGTGTTTCAGACATATATATATATCTGACATAATTCCGAAATGTAATGGTTATATTCCATATACCAGTATGTGACAATATTCTAAAAGTCGTCAGTGTTATCGTAAAATGCAAACAGTATATATATTTTTGTCTCTTTAGATCCCCTGTCAGGATATCATATTCTAGAACAATATTAGTCTGAAGGGCACATTTAAGATTTAAATAGTAACACGGCATTAGCCCTGAAGATTTTTATAAAGATGATGAGTTAGAATCAGGCCAACATTAAGAATATTATGCTCTTATCTAATGTGAGATAGTCCAGCAATTAAAAAAAATCTGAACACATCTAATATTAGATGTGGATATTCTTTTTTTTTTAAATTCGCTTAGTGGGGGGTGGAGTCCAACCGGGTTCACTCGGCACAGCGACCACTGATTGACCTACTGTAGCCTGCCCCAGGTGATTATGATGATGGAGGATTTGGTGGAATAAAGTTTGGCAGGGGAAACCGAAGTACTCGGAGAAAACCCACCCCAGCGCCACTTTGTCCACCACAAATCCCACTTCAATAGACCCGGGATCGAACCCGGGAAGCCAGCGAATAACCGCTTGAGCTATGGCGTGGCCTTGATGTGGAGGTTACCTCTTGTTCAAATAAATCTCTCTTATTAACTGAGTCTGATACGAAAATTATATTCCAGTATAATTTTGCAGTTCACACATAATCTGGATTTGGTAGGAAATCATGTGTCTAAATTCTCCTCAGAGCGCTAAGATAAGATCTGACTGTTACTGAGCTTACCTGTCTCCTGATCCCACACTCTACTCCTGGTTGGGGATAACCTGTTGATGGTCTGGATGGAAAACTTGACTCAGGCCGAGGCACTGGGAAGTGTGACTGAGATCCTGGATGAGGGAGAGGTTGAGGAGATGTGGGTCGGGTGAACAGTGGTTGAGGCTGTGTTGGTTGTGGTTTAGGATGTACTGACTTGACTGGTTTTGGATATGTTGGGGGTTGTGCACTGGGTATAGGCTGTGAGGGTTGTGGAGTTGGTTGAGGGAATGGCTCATGACTTGGTTTTGATTGTGGATATGGTTGAGGAGATGGCTCAGGAAATTGTTGAGGGGAAGATGGCAGATATTGTGGGAATGGTTGAGGAGATGGTTGAGGGGCTGGTTGAGGAGATGATGGAGATGGTTGAGGGAACGGTTGAGGGGATGATGGAACATGCTGTGGGAATGGTTGGGGAGATGATGGAACATGCTGTGGGAATGGTTGAGGAGATGATGGAACATGCTGTGGGAATGGTTGAGGGGATGATGGAACATGCTGTGGGAATGGTTGAGGAGATGATGGAGACGGTTGAGGGGATGATGGAACATGCTGTGGGAAAGGTTGAGGAGAGGATGGGGAGTACTGGGGATATGACTGTGTTGGAACATGAGGAAGTGGTTCTGCAGATGATGGGATATGTTGTGGGAATGGTTGGGGAGATGATGGAACATGCTGTGGGAATGGTTGAGGAGATGATGGAACATGTTGTGGGAAAGGTTGAGGAGAGGATGGGGCTACGTGAAGGAATGGCTGAGGAGAGGATGAAGCTGGTTGTGGTAATGGCTGAAAAACTGGCTTTGGCTGAGGATAACCAATACTAGGCTTCTTAACAGGTTTCTGAGAGAGTGGAGTGCTTCCAGAAATAAATGTTTCACCAGGGAATGCAGACTGGTGATTGGAACAGCAGATTCCTGATGCCCCATCAAGTGGTACTCTGCAACTCTGAAATTCAAAATATTGATGTAGTATCATTGAAAAAATGGAAAACACTCGTTGCGAATATAGGAAATAATTCCAGTATGAGGTGAATACGCAGGGTATAACTTCAAGTTCCCACAAATCCAAGGGTGTATTCTAAATACAGAAAAAAAGAAGAAACTTCACATCAACATGAGCCTTCCTGAATCTCATTTCCAGCCACAGCAACCCCAACAGTAGGACCACCTACCATGCCAACACAGTTCCCTACAAGGACTACATGCTCCGGGCGCCACATCCATTTTCCCGCTCGCCTGAACATATGAACATCAATTTTCGCGAGGGGGGAGTGATGTGGGAACCCCCACATACTAACATGCAGCTTTGTCTGTCTAACAGACAGCATTCAACTTCTGCTCAAGCCAAGTCAATGTCACATTGCGGCCAGTGCTTGTATTTATACAGCACTCGATGTCCAGCCCACCTGCAGATCAAGATGTGTGCTAGCCAATCAGCGCTCACAATTGCAACTGCAACTTTAGCTCTGCCCAACAAGCATGGTATAAAAGGCGGAACTCAAAGCTCGCTATCATGAGTTCTTCGATCATCCTCACTGCGATAAAGACAGCTAACACAGCTACTCTGACGTCATGAAGCAGCAACAGCTCTCCAGCAACCGTGCCGAGAGAACAGCTCTGTTATCGCCCATACCATAGGCAGATGTTCCTACCGGCGCACGCAGCACCACATCACCAGCCAGCCAGACCAGCTGGTTTGCTACAAAGCAGCAAGTGCTACTAGCGCAAGCATAGCTGAACAAACGGTCCTTTTCAGGGCCCACAAACTTTTTAGTGTTTGTCTGTTAGACCAGCGACATCCCACACCTCCATGTTTGAAAAAGGATTACAGGTTACCTTGCCAAATATATCATTTAGTATTGTGAGATTTGTTGAGAATGACCTAATGTTGTTACCTTCCTCAACAAGAACACTGAAAAAGTCAGTAGTGTGACTGTATTGAAGCAAACACAATTTAATTCACGGGTATTATTACGTCTGTGACACAGTCTTCCTGTTCCATTCACTCTCAGCTGTTATTCAGCCTTGTAAAGAAATCAGTTGTAAGTGGTCTACCCACAGTATCCCCTTTTACTCAATTCTAGCATCATGACTAGGCCACCATTCCCTTTCCCTTCCCAGCCCCTGCACTGGTTATTCAAAGTGTACCTACTCAGACAAAATAATGTGCATTCTGCCTCACCTTAGCTGGCTGGATCTTGTACTGGTTGCCACACTGGTATGGGTGCAGACATGAGGCCGCAGCACCACACTCATCCTGCTGGTGTTGGTGCTGGTGGCCATCCTCAGTATTTTTCATCATCATGCCACCTGGCCAGGGATCCTTGTAGTTGGGATCTCGACAACATTTTCCAATAGCACCAGTGTCAGGATCAGCACATTCCTGAAGTGTTACAAGCACTGTCAGAGCAAAATGTGCAGTGCACATGATTGTTGCATGTATCATTATCGTCTTGTTAAATTCTTAGATGTATACACGTGTCTCACTATATATGATTATATGATTCACTAACTAAACTACCTTCCTGCTAATAGAAATTGAAGTTTCAGCAAAGGGGTTATTGAAGCTCAGTTCTGCAACCAAAGCCATTTCAGTTTCATTCCCATCCACTCAGTCTGCTTCTTGATATAGATTTTAATATCATCTCACCTTTGTCTTGGTCTGGTGTCCCTTTCCACTAGTGTCTGTATTAGCATGCATTTCTTATGCTCCCCCCCCTCCCTCCCAAGATAAATATCTACCTCACTGCTATATCCATGATTGGAGTACGCTAACAATACCTCTTGGACCTTGTTCTAAGTAAAGGATATGCGAGTAGATGTGACTAGCAGCCCACCAGAGCAGGAATTTATACACCCACCTTCTAAAGACAAAAACAGAGCCCATTAAAAAACTGTGGATTTACATTCAAAGAACTAGTATGATAGACATAGTTAAAATATTCAGTCTTAAACACTCTGTTGCAACACTGTCAATAACTTTAAATTTGTAGTCAATAACATATGAGCTGTAATTTCAGGACAGTATAGGAAAACACGTGTTAATGAAGAATGTGCTGACAATATACAGTTTGACATGTGCTCACCGACAAGGGAACTCTGTTCTCATACTGTTCCCTGGTGAGTGTGACAGGATGATCTGCCATGACGCCGTCTGCAGTGCAGTATGTTTCAGGAACACACTTCAAAGCCGCTGCACAGCCTGGATGTGGTGTAGTGTTGAGTGGTCCCGTGTATGGGCTTGGATTGGGCGTTGGAGTCACAGGCTGTCTAGTGCTATCATAAATTGATCCTCCTATTGGTACTCCATAAGTGCCAGGAACTGGCCGACCAAAATTGTTGCTTGGAGCATATGTCACTGACGGGATGCTGGCACTTGGACGCTGAACTTCGCTGACTGGGAAGGATGGTTTTGACGGAGGTGGAACATGAATAAGTCCAGGCTGGTTTGGACTGGGACTGATATGTATTAATCCTGGCTGAGATGAGGAAGGGGTGACATGGACCAAACCTGGCTGAGATGAGGAAGGGGTGACATGGACCAAACCTGGCTGAGATGAGGAAGGGGTGACATGGACCAAACCTGGCTGTGAAGGAACCACATTTCCACCACAGCTGCTACCCGAACCATAATTGTCACAACTAGATGGTTTTTCAGGTCCAGCAGGGAGACGACAGCAGACCTCTGAGGCAGCATTGCAGTACTGTATCTGCAAGACAATCACAACTGTCAGCATATGCTATTCCTTAACCACATGCTCAACTTAAGCCATTAATGTTTTAGCTTTTAGCCATTTAAACACCATTTCTGCCCATAAAATTTGATGTGGGGACATTTAATAGTGTGATTCAGTACAGCTACTGAAGGTTTACTGAACCTGATGTCCAAGTAATATATTACATTCAGGAGATGAACTATAGGTATGAGCTCAGGAAAGTGTCATTTTGGGCTGTAATTCACAATAAGTTACTGATTAAACAACAAAAGTGTACTAAATGTCAGCACATTTTGGTGCCTTGGATGCTCACTCTCATATGACAGGCAGGAACATGAGGTAAAGGAATTTTTAACAGTTAAAAATGGTATGCCTCATTAAATAAATTTTGGGCTGTACAATGTGCAGAAAGAGATAAAACAAAACTTTATATAGCTCTAGTTTTACAAGCACTCTCAAACTGAACCGAATTACTGACAATTAAAGCTAAAGGCTAAATCAAAATCTTGAACAGCTTTCAGGCAGCGTGTCACATTGCTCCCTCCCTAAGGTTGTTCTTCCCAAACAGCCTAACAATACTTCCCTTTCTTTCATTTCCGAGTGTTCCTGCTTGCAGCATCTTCTGTTCTGTTCTGTTCATCTTCCGAGCGCCACATCCACCCCCTCCTTCAAGGGTGCTCGTCCTGAGCAGCTCCGTGGTAGACTTCCAGTCACTTCATGTTCTCGTCATTGCCCACAATTTTTTCTTTTCTCTCTTTCTCATTCTTACTCTTGCTGGGGAGGCCAGTGCTCTTACATTACCGGATCCTCCTCTGTTTCCTGCTTCTTTTTGGTTTTGGATGGGGGCTCGACCCTCCACAAAGTGCCATCCTTGTTCTGTCGCTCCGGAGGGCGCTGATACATCCACAGCGTCGAGTTTCTCACCTTCCGCAACCCGCTGAACATCCCGGTTGCTTTCTTCACGAATTCCAGCTCTAGGGTCTTGTAGGCCGTTCCTATTCTTCCCAGAGGTGATAGCTGTCTTGAGCTCCACCCTCCGATATCGGTCACGGTTGCCCTCTTCTTTCTCTTGTATAGCGGCCGCTTGCCGCCTCGGTCCTTAATTCCACTTTTGCATGCTGGTCTTCGCTGATGTCTCCTCCCAAGGGTCCCTTCTTTCGGGGCTCCTTGTACCACATTGTCCCTGGCCCGAAATTTCCCGACGGCGTTTTCCTTGCTTCGTGCCGCTTTCGTATGGCGGGTCGTCCCTCTACGGGCGAAGGCCAGTCTCTTCTGGGATCCAAAATTTTCCCATGTCGTCTGCCTGCGGGCGGCAGCCAATTTGTTTCGGCACCCATCCTTGCCCTGGGTCCGTTCTTTCGGCTTTCCTCGCCGCTCTGCAGCTAACTTCCGGTCCCTACGCCTCTTTTTCGGTCCTCCGATCGGCATCATTTCGGCGTCTTCTTTAGAGACCTCGTACTGTTGTGCCGCAGCAGGTTTCGTGTCCACTGTGCCTCCATCATTTCTTGGCAGGCCATTTTCTCGTCGTCTCTTTCAGCTTCGATTTCTTCCCGCGCGGTTTTTCTGTCCGCTTCCGTTCTCTTGTCTCGCATGGCTCTTGTTCTTGCGACCATTTCTCCTTGCAAGGCTTTATTTCCTCTCGGTCGGCTCTCATTTCGGCCAGCATTTGTTTTGGGTTGGCTTCCGCATTTGACTGGTTGGCGTCCATCCTGGCCAACAGACGCTCCATCACTTGTTCCAGATCCGTGATGTGGCGTCTTCCCTCTGATCTGTGCGTTGTTCTGTTCCAGAATCCTAGCCTATCCCACTTCTTATACCAGTTGTCACGTGTTTCCTAGGCAACGCGACAAGAAAATTTACGTGGGACTCGGATTTGGACGAATATTTATTGGACACTCACTCTTAACACTCGCAAATGCAATTATTCACACTTATAAAGTCTTCGGACGTTTCTTCTTCAATGTTACAACACTCTTGCACCGCTATTCTCGGTGAAGTGTCTGCTGCTCGGAGCTCAACTATCCTTAGCTCTCGTCGGATACGAAGTAACTTCCGCTCCAAGTCCAAGTCACATTGTGACTGACTATCAGTCAGTCAGTAAGTCTTGGTGTCGAGCCCCATTACTGTTTGGCATTTATGGTCTTGTTCTTGTGGGGCGCCCTCTCTGACGAGAGGACGGGTCTGCCTTTTGTATATGATGCTGGCCCTTGCCAGCGCAGTCTTTCTCGGGTCTGAGTCCCTTGGAACTCACGACCATATTTTACTGTCTCAGATTTGAGACTTCCATTTTCGTCGCCTCCTACGACTCTCAGGGTGACGGTGGAGGTATTCGATCCCGCCTCCACACGGGGGCTCTGGTGAACTTCTGCTCTATCCGGATATGAACTGTTATATCATGCACTCGGACTGAATAGAGAGCACCTTGTCGAAGGGTTCATTTCGTCCGCTGCTATGCAACGACTCTTGTTGCCGCGGGAATACGTGTCTACCTCAGACGATTCGTTTGTAACGGCGGAGAATCCACTGTTATACTTTCATTTCCTGGCTAACGATTTCCTAGGCATCGCTGCCTAAGAATTGCTAGCTGTTGACTAGTGATGGACGTCTTATAGTCCTGCTTTCAGGCAGCACGTCACAATATTCTTAAGTAAAATTTCTGAGACAAATGGCAGAACTTGGGTTGACCATGCAAGAAATAAATACAAATTTAAGGTCTGGGCTTCAGTTCGTCATGTACGGTCCTGACGTCACTGAACACCACCGCACTGTCTTTTTGCTCTACTCTTGTCACTACCAACACTGGACTCACTGTTTCTGTCCACCCCACAGCTTCACAACACACGAAAGCTGCACGCACAGACTGGTCCCGCAGACGAACTCAACTCGCTAATTCCTTACAGTTTCATTTTGAAAGGGTGTCGCCAGTACCGTGGGCTGCTGGAACGTCTGGAACGGTGTGGAAGCCGGTGGCTGGGGGTGATGAAGTCGAGAAGCTCCCATTGTGAGACGTGCTCCGCTGGTATTTGACCCACACTCCCCCGCGAAACAATATTAAAAGAATTAAAAAAAAACAGACACCAGTCTGCTAGTACCGGTTCTCACGGTCTCTTCGCTTGCTGATTTCTTATTTTTCCTTCTACCCTGAAGATGGAGGCGATGCGTTCCCCCGAAACGTCGGTTAGCACCACATCTACACGGTGCCACATTCCAGAAGACTGCTTTCTTCATGAAGTTTTAATGTCCAATCATGATGAACATTTTGATGAGTATACTTACACGGGTATCTGTCCCAAAATGAAAGCGAATTGCTCAGCTCCAGTCCCCCTTGTAAGAAGTGGGCTGAAGTGTGCGCGCATTTGAAAGAAAACAGTGCCGCATGGAAACAAAATGAAGATTGCTGTACTTCTATTGCGCTTGCCTGGCAGCAACGCATCCGCTGAAAAAGCAATTTCCCGTATAAAGCAGCAGTCTCAGTTTCATGTGGACACAACACAAGCCGTGTACATTCTGCAGAGAGGTCTCAAGCCATCGCAAGGACCTCCTGCTGCCTGTCATAACTGTCTTACAAATCACAATGTTACGTTTTTACATTTAGAGTTGCAGTGCGGAGTCAGGGACCACATCCTGTCACTATATATCACTATTAATTCATTGTTACTGTCCAATAGCAAGAATACAGGGTGTATTGTGTACCATTTAAAGGGCAAGTACTTTCTCCAGTTCCCTCCAATGATTTTAGAATGGCTGCTCACGAAATGCCAGGATGAGAATGTTCACTTTAGATTAAGTGACAATGTTAATAGCTCGTTACCTCCTTGCTACGTGTCAAAGACCCTATCAGTGGGACTACAGGACATGAAGCAACATTCCATGTTAGAATGTGATGCAAAAAGATGATAGAATAGAAACTGGTCATGAGTCAAGGCCGCCAGGTCTGCCCACGTAGCATCACAGCCCACTGTGTCTGCTACATTTCAGCGTACAGTGGCCAGACTGCAAATCTGCGTCTCCCAAAGAGACTGCCTGAAGTAAACAATTTGTAATATTTCAGGGTTTTAAGGGGACGAAGACACATCTTGTGGTCTTCTGGGTTATGGAACCGTCTTGTAGCCTTGTAGGTGGGCACCAAGTTTTGTCTTCAGGGTTTACGTAAGGGCGGCAGCGGTACTACCCCCCGAAATGTTGGTATCCGCTTATATGGCCACAGCAGAGTGTCATAACTGTGAAGACCACAGTAATTAACTTCTCTATCCACCGATCAATAGGTTACTTAACGACCGGTCAGTACATTAGACGGTATAAGTATAGTTAGCAAATAATGCACTGGACACGATGTAGCAGGAAGCCGCCGTCACGCAACCTCCCGATATTTAACTGGAGGGACTCAGCAAAACTACAAAAAGTAACCTCGTCCAGGATATTTCTTCTCCCGGCCGAAATTTGAACCAGGCGCATGTCCACTGAAAGTCAGATGGGTTGGCCCTTCAGATACCTTGCTGAATAATATGGAAGAATTAACTCTTGATATCACGGTGGTTACTATGTATACCACTTGCATCATCATTAAATAATTCTGCATTTTATGATGGGTCCATTTGGGTTTCGTTTGATTCTCAGAATAAACCGTGACTCTTTCCCTGAACAGCATAACTGGTTGGTTTCCGTTTCCTGCGATGCAAGAGCTCAATGTTTTGTATTTGGGGCTCCAAGGGATCAGCTGCGTCTTCACTTTTCATGGTCTGTCACATTCCTGAACAAGTGATTGTGTTGGTTCAAGCGGTAATATTTCGAGAGGTGATCTGTTCGAATCTCGGTAGGAACACGGACTAACCTCACTGAGGTTACGTATTAGTTTTCGTCAGTCCATGGAGCTAATGCCGGGATAGTGGCTTCCTTACACATTTTTTTTTAATTCAGTTTCATTATTGGACTCTGTAGAGCCTGACTGACAGCCTCGTTACAGCAACTGTCAGCAAATACCAAAATGTACCAAACAGCAGAGGAATCATGAACCGATTCTCTGGTCACATACATACATACATACATACATACATACATACATACATACATACATACACGCGCTCATTACGCCTGTATGCAGGAGGTACTGCTGCTTTGAATCTTGGCCTTGATGCAGGATATACCGACATGTTTTCGCCGTTTTCCTCAGTCTGTCTAGGAAAATGCTGGAATGGAGACTCTACACAATGTTCCATGATTTTTAATCATTGTTTAATTCGGTTTTGCGTAATTACATCTAGAAGGTTGAGTTGGGTACGGCACGAAAAATTGTGTAACGGGAAATGCACACATAATTTTGCTTCGAAAACATCAACGGGCATAGGTCACGTGGGAAGATGAGAATTAGCAAGGCAGCTCCGTCGCGCCCTTTTCCGCTACCGCACGGAGCGGTCACAGAGTCCGTTAGTGCGCGTGCGAACACTAATAACTCGTTTCCTCCAACACCGTGGCGAGGAGTGACGAAGTTAGTGGGTTCACATGGCATGTCCAGGACTTCAGGTGATGTCATCACTAACGAAAGTCGGGTTCAATTCACGTGGGCTGCACGGAAATGGAAAGTACACTCTGTTTACAAACAAACTGTAATTTTCTCTTCCAGTCATAAGATTGTCAAGAAATTTTAAATAAGCATGCCCCCCTCCCGGAATTTTGTAAGAAATCAAATTTGAGAAAAAAGAAAGCAATGAAATATTTAAACAACGAATACATGTTATATTTATAAAATGTAGTCTCATATTCTAAATATTCTAGGGCAAACAGAAAATTAGTCGAAAACGGCTTAATGTAACTCCGTAAACAAGATTTCTGGATTCTCCTAATTGGATATAATTCTGGCAGCGTCGACCAACATTCAGGGGTACAAGTTGGACGATCTGCTTCATCTCAGCCTACCCTATGTCCCTCTTCTTAGGCATGTTGAGCTAGTTTAGACTTTTCTAGAAGACCTTCTCTGAGGTTATGCCTATGTTCCCGGAGCCGCAATGATTACAATGATTCCTGAACAAGGAATAAGGGCAAAGGAACCCTCAGGGTAGACAGTCCCTGTGTGATCCTGAAGTCAGGAACCCCCCCCTTCCCCCACTTCACCCAGATGTGAGTCAGGATTGTTAGACACTCGGTTACAAAATGTAGTGGACCAATTACACATTGCAATTCAATTGTACGCTATTATGCAGCAGAAATATTCGTCCCTGAAAAGTAAAAGCTTGCCAGTGAACCGTAGCTCGAACTCCTTCACTCAGGTCTTTACGCTGCAATGTCTTAGAAAACAGGAACAAAACAAAACAAACTCCGTGGCTTTAGTTCGCAAGCGAACTATACCGACCGAGAGACCGCCACTTGTCGGTGAAGTTAGTGCCAACTTTAGCGGATAGATGGCGTCGCGTGGTTAGCGCAACAAATCTTAACGGCCGTTACAGGAAACTGTCGTAATTAGGGAAAATGTGAAGATGATATCAGGGATGAAACTTGCCATTCACCGGAAGATATTCTTAGAACACGGAATATCACTAAGAAGTGACTGTAACTTGTCAACAACATAACCACTATTCTCTGCGTTCTCAGAATGTGCACAGTGATGCTGGCACACATGAACACATCCCTGCTTTCGTAAACGGCGATGCGAGTTGCTGAGGGAGTATCAGGAGATGGGTGAGTGATGACGTAGGCGGGTATAAGCGGTCATGGCTTTCCACAATTCCATTTCAGGGACTGAGGTAAGCCACTGGAAACTTCAGTTTCATGGTCAGTCTTCGTATTACGATTTGAACCAGTCACATCACAAACACAATGCAGGAGTGCCAACCTCTGGACGGCGACATTCGGTCAGATTTCCGTTCAAAACTGCGCTATATAATTTGTTGCTTTTCATTCTTGTTGAAAGTGGAATTCTCGAATGAATACGTAAGTGAATGGAAGAAGTAGGAAGTGTAACAGTTCTGGCCTGTGCGCCCTCTCATTGCCTACAGATTTTCAGTTCGTGAATGTCAATTTTTCATGTTCTCGTAAAAATAGCGTCAACAAGAGTTCCAGATAAAAATCATTAAAAAAATGAGTACTACATTTTAAACGGGGGCACGCGGTAGCATAGTTGGTTGAGGCACTATGCTACAAGCGGGAAGGTCGCGGGATCGAATCCCGATGAGGTCATTGGATGTTTTCAATTTAACTAATCCTTCCAGCCGCACTATGACCCTAGGGTCGACTCAGCCTTTAACAGAAATGAGTACCAGGAATATTCTTGGAATGTTCTTTGGGGTAAAGGGCGGCCGGCACACAAGGCTAACAACCTTACCGCCATCTATGAGTTGACTGTCTAGAAAATGTGGGAACCTCAACATCTCACAACACTATGGGCCTCCACGGCCTGTTACAGGGATAACTATACTTTTTTACATTTTAAACGTGTATTTTCACTTAATACCTACTAGGCTACAGGCAGAATAACCGGGATTCGATTCCTGTTAGGGGCAAGAGATATTTCACGTCTTCACAGCGTTCAGACCAGCTCTGGGGCCCACCCACCTTCTTATAAAATGCGGAAAATGATACGTACCCCCATGGGTAAAGTGACCGGAGCGTGAAGCTAACAGTTCACCTAAATATAGTTCCGAGGTCAAGAATGGTGAAGCTGTACTCCCTTTATCACATGCCTTCATGGCATGGTGCATAATTACGTAATTAAGTTCAGGGTAAACTACATTGTACATGTATTTCTCCACTCAGTGAACAAGAAATGCCTCAGAGTCCAAATTATGAGAAATATAAACACGTGACTCCGGCAATCCTCGCCTGAGTTTCGAAGACCAGTGTTCAGGGGAGTTCATTCAATTATGTTTGTTTCAAAACTCATAAGAGAAACGGAATAATTTCGGTGAACTTAAAATGTGTGAAGAAAGCAGTCTTCTGGGATGTGGCACTGTGTAGATGTGGTGTTAACCGACGTTTCGAAGGAACGTATCACCTCAATCTTCAGGCTAGAAGGAAAAANTTCCGATAAACATTGAGCTCGATATCTGCGAGAAAGTGCTTCGGTTATTTTTATACGATTGTAATCAGGATGAAAATCTGTTCAACAGTTTCCCGAATGCCACGTGCAGATACAGGACGAAGCTTGTTCCAGTTTTCGTAGCGAATGTAGGCAACGTACCTCTGATCGCACCTGGATGAGTCCCTGTCCATCTTCAACGACAACTCCGTTGACGCAGAGATGTTTCGGAGAGCAGATGTATCCACGCCCACTACAGGTTACTGTCTGGCCTGAAGGGTTTACAGGGGGTGCCCCACCCGGTTTGAGGCCACTCAGAAATGGGTTGCCCTGAATGTTGACGGGTGTTGATCCACAGCCACCAGCCACTCCGGGACCGCAACCACTGGGCTGTGCAGATGAGGGTGGGCTCACACCACTGAAAGGAGAATTGGGGTTCTGCCACCAATATGAGCCTCCTCCCTCTGGAGGGGAAGCCGGTTGGCTGTAGGAGCCGAGGCTGTTATCGGGAACAGGACTGCTAACTGGGTTGATGAATGCCGGTTGGTATTGCTGTCCATCGACGTCCAAACTAGCAATATCTGGTGGCAAGGTGGTCGTCGTTGTAGTGCGATGTTTCTTGCCCTTGTGAGGCAAGGGGCCATAACCCTGGGCCAGACACGGAGGACTACACGCTGAGATAATAAGGATAACAGCTATGTAAAGGGGAGACATTGTGGCTCCTGCTGAACGTCTGCGAAAAAGAAATAATAACACATAACTCGGTGTCCTTATTTTTGTATACCTTACTTATAAGGGACAGAACCTATTGTGCTTAGACCACAACCTTAGACCTGGGAATTCCAAGTACTGGTAAAAGGTATTCGACGCTCGGAGCGGGCATAGCCCTTGCGAAATGGTTAACCGGAAAAATTATCCTTTATTTTCATAAATATCTCCCACTCATCTCATGAGTTGTATCGCTACCTTTTCGGTAATTTTCAGGTGTTAACCAGTTCAGTATTCTGAGTGTTCGGAAGAAGACATTTCTACGTTAAGTCCTTTTATTTTGGCAGTTCCGTACTCTGAAGATAAGTTACAAACTCTTAACTACTATTTTCTGACAACTAAGCATCACATTTCATAATAACTTGAACCTTCATTACAAATAAATTATTAGCTTTCAATAGAATTTGAATACCTTCGCTCTACAAGATAAAAATGTTGCGAATTGATTACAGAAGTTTTGTATTTATTTTAAGTAGAATGGCTTCCAAAGTAATTTGTATGAATATTGACTTCCGAAATTTTCCACAGCTTCAAAAAATCTACAAATATTGCAGTCATACATTTTGATTATATTAATTATTTAATTAATATTTTATATTATAAACCAATAATTAATTTTATAAATAATATGCAGTTGATAAAGTACATATTTTTATAAATATTACATTTATTATAAGTATACAATATGATGGGTGGGGGCCACAGAAGTGGGCCACGAGAAAAGAAAAGTTGAGAACAACTCCTTTAAAAGACACATGACATTTAGGAAGGCAGCTGAGTCACTTGTCTGTTCAGAGAAAACTTAACAGTTTCTTCAAACTTGCATTATTACGTTCACAAAGGGTCACAACTTCTAGGGCTTCTATTGATGAATAAATGTATTGTCTTTTTATGGGGTTTAAATAAAGGCTCATATATGTATGAATTACTGTAGGTCAACCGTTACACAACAAATATACTCGTTTTTAATGATTTACAATTATACTTTTCATTCCTGCTACATGTTTCGGTCGTACAAGACCATCATCAGGCAATTAATATAGGAATACGTACAGTCATTGAACTACCGATATGGACCCATACCAGTGCAACGTGTCATATTATATACTAACAGAAAATTTGCCTCCAGTTGGTATTACAATTAAAAGAGAAGATAAAAAATGAAATATATGCCATATCTCAAGATATATTAGGTGATATAAGTGTTGAACACATTACAGAAATATTAAAAATACTTAATGATATTTTAAATTATTTAACACTATTAAGTACGTGTATGAGAGGTTAAGAACATGTATGCCAAATTAATTCTAAGGTTCCGATGCTACAGTGTGGAACTGGGAATGTTATGTCAATTGTAGATCTTTGTTGTTAGAAGCTTTCTGCGTAGTAAGCCCAGAGACAAGTTTCTGTGACGTACGGGTTGTTAATGTGCGCTGTAATGGATGTGCATATTCCCGATATGTCATTACAGTGATGTCTTGTTTCTTATTTTCATCAGCACTACTTATATCATTAAATTTTTCATTTATATGTGTTCTAATTATCTGTCTTTTAAGAATAATTTTTGTTTCACTAGAGGGGGTTTACCGTAATCTTTTTTTTATTGCTAGTGGGGTGGGACTAAGTCCCTTGTACTGCGGCCACTTCTGGCCTATTGTACCAGCCCCAGCGCCATTTTGTCCACCACAAATCCCACTTGCCCAGACCTGGGCAGCCGAGGTGGGAAGCCAGCGACTAACCGCTTGAGCTATGACGCGGTCTACTGTAATCTTAAAATCACTCTTAAAACCCACAAGATTCGTTCAATTGGTTTACAACCTTACAAAACCTTAAATCTGCGTGTCATGTCCAAGATATAAAATAAAGTTAATAATCCCCTGACGTACTCACACTGTCCACTGCGTTCCTGGGTTTACTAAGGACACAAACACACACGAGTAACCGCTAATTGCAACACTGACATGTACATGCTACAGCCTTCTTCAGTTCACAGGTTGAGTTTATATAGGTAAGGGCGGAGGCGTGGTTTGTTGCTTAGCAACCAATACATACACATACTTCTGAGAACGCACTGAAGGCCACGAGGAGCGGTTTGCAGGCTGTCCGTGGGATTTTCAGCTCCAACCGCGTAAAACGTTCAGGTACTGGAAGCGGCTGTTTTTTCTCTCGGGCCTTAACGTACAGAGTGGGTGAAAAGTTGGTTCTCCGCTAAACTTCTTTAATTATATGTCTATAACATTTAAGGTGAGGGACGAGAGGCCATGCCAAAAAGTACATTTTTAACATCGAATTTAGCTGAAACAATTCCTTTAGTTGCATTTAGTAGGCACCCGCCGTTACAGAGCTCTTACATGTCAAGGTCTGTCCGCTGTAGTCATCACAAAAAAACTCCCGTGGCCTGTAGTCCACAAGCGAACTATACCGACCGAGCGACCGCGGCTTTTCGGCGAAGTTAGTGCCAACTTTAGCGGATAGAGGGTGTCACGTGGTCGGCGCAACGGATCCCCTGAACTTAATTTCGGTTTTCTAGACCGCAGCCGCTATTTCCTTGAAATATCTCCTCAAGTATCCTCACGAGGCTGAGTGAACCCTGTTCCAGACCCAGTACTTCTCAGAAAATCTGGTAGCGCCGGGAATCGAACCCGGACTTCTGGATCTGTAGGCAGGAAGTCTGACCACTAGACGACAGAGGCGGTCTATTCATCACAAAATAAAAAGAAAATACACAGCGAAACATTTTCATTTAAAAATTTTGAATTCTTAATTCATGGGTTTTGTACGATACTAACTACGAGTATGTTGATCATTAACAACAATATTCATAGGAGTGTAAAGGGTTGCATTTACTGCAGTGGAGCAACTGGGAGGTTGGCACAAGTGTGTGGTGAAAACTAAGAACGGCTGGGACACCGTGTTGTGATCTAGAATCTAACATTCAGGAAATCGTTTTTACTGTACTGATGAATGTTAAAACTCTGCCATAAGTAACTATCTTTTTTTTATTGCTAGTGGGGTGGGACTGAGTCCCTTGTACTGCGGTCACTTCTCGCCTATTGTACCAGCCCCAGATGATAGGTGACGGTGATTGTGGAACAATTGGTGGAATGAAGATTGGCAAGGGAAACCGAAGTAGTCGGAGAAAACCTGCCCCATTGCCACTTTGTCCACCACAAATCCCACTTGACCAGACCCGGGCTCGGTGTTCGGAACCCACAGATGTGATGTATACATTTTGAACATTCGAAGCAAAAGAATAACAAATACTGGACCCGGATCTTGCAGGATGGAAAAAGAAAAGTGGCGTACTCATGCAGAATAATGAATGAATGTACGGAAATATCTCGTTATTCTCGAAACAAGCTTCGTATTATGCACATAAAAGGCCATAGGTGCCCACCGAACAGGATTGTGTGACGTCATGTGACACCATCCATTGTTCCGGTGCTACATAACACGAGGAGGACATCACGCGAGTTGGGATTACCCGGTACTTTGACCTACATATAATAGGATGTAACTATGGGTTGCTGACTTCATACGAATTCGTCAGAACTGCTGAACATTTCGAAATGGATCGAGAGAAAGGGACCAGAAGCAGTGTTCATTCATTGCCTGGGCCGCAGTGGGATGCAGTTGCAACACAGTTCTGAGCCGCGGCTTCCAGCTTTCCTGACTCAACGTCAGTTTCACGTCTCGTGTGGGTTGTACTGCATCCACCGGCCACAATTTTGGCAGAACCTGCTAATTTAGTTTCGGACTCGAAATTTCTTAATATGTTCGCACCAAGCCTTTAAAAAACCAGAGGTAACTACACTTAACGCCTACTTTAACAATGATGATGTCAATATCTTTCCTTCAGAGAACATTTTCACATATTAGAGGTGTGCGTGACTTATAAAATGGCGTTTGGATCCGATGATCAAATTCATTTTACTTTCATACGTCGTACAACTGGTTACAGCAATTCACAACTTCACTACTCCAACTGAACTGAACTGCTTGAGCCAGTCACTCACTGTTACACAGCCTTAGGGAGGACTCCACAGCAAACAGCCCATTGCCTAGCAATAGACGTCTTTATTATCGCGTATTTTTGTAGGCTTTACTTAGCAACGGGCTGTTTACCCAGAATCCGTCTCCGCGGGAACGTGTTTATCTAGCTGTTGCCTAGCAATAATCTATACGTCACAATATTGATGTCTCATATGAATCTCAGAATAAACAGGAATTATTTCCTTACACACAGGGCTTAATTTACAGTTGTGTGCGCGCTCTCGCGTGTGTGTGTGTGTGTGCCCTTCGCCCACCTTCACGGCTTAGTTCTAAGCAGACCGATGTGGACAGGGTGTGCATGTGACTTGGAACTGACGGACTCTGTGTAGCAGAGAACACGCACAGAATCTGTCCAAAGCATCTTTTAGGGGCACGCCAGGGAAGTTGGTTGAGGCACTATGCTACACATGGAAGATAGCGGAATCGATTACCGACGATGTCATTGGATTGTTCACGTGACCTAATCCTTCCAGCCGAAACATGGCACTGGGATCGACTCAGCCACTAAGAGAAATGAGCACCAGGAATCTTCCTGAGGGTAGAAGGCGGCCGAAACGTAAGGTTGACAACCTCACCGCCATCTGTGAGCCGATTTTCTACAAAAATGTAGAAGCCTTACATCCCTATGGGGCACCACGGCCTGTTACAGGGATGGTTTACCTTATAACTTTACAGCACCTTTTAGGGTGCATGAAGTCTTAGTAAGCAACCTTGTGTGCTCAAAGAGAGCTTGGTTCCCATCATGTTGTGGCATATAGACCCGTTGCTAGGCAACGAGACGATGGCCATATTTATGCAACAGTGTTGGAAGCGGTGTGTTCCGAGGCTATATCACCGATTGACTGAGTTGAGGCGGATCAGTGCAGTGCAGTGTAGTGGACTAGAGCGAGTTGGTTGCTAACTGAGAGGACTTGCAGTTCACACCTTGTGAACCGTTGCTGTTAGAAGTTGGTAGCTGCGGCATGGGGGTAGTTCGGGAAACGTCCGCCGTTGGAAGCCGCTACTATGCAACGACTGGTGAAGAGACAGCAAACTGAGAAGACCTACTACGATCTGTAGTGAGCTGCAGTCTGAGTGAATTAGCAAGAGCGCTATAGTTACTTGTTGTTAGGTTGTGTAGCTGCTCAGTAAATCCAATTACCAATCCAAAAACTGTCTATAGTCACTATCACGTGACAATATGTTGAAAATGGCATTTAGAGCTTTCCAATGATAACGGAACGACCTCAAAGGTATTTTTACACTCAGTTAAAATTCGAATAGGACATCCACAGTAATTGGCCAGTGACTATACAAAAACATTTGGATTATGACCTTGGGAAATTCTTAAACAATGCTCACATGTTGAAGATGAGTGGCGCTATACCGCCATTTTTCTAGACTCGCCGTGCATCCGGGATGAGAAGAGATTTAGTTGTGTTTCGTGAGTAACAGCACGCTTTCAGTATGCACAATAAGATGAAGCTAATAGTCACGTTTATTCTACGTGTGTACAGAAGTTCCTGTAAAGATGCTCGGTGATTTATTTCATGTGACCTTTTACTACCAGATAGTGTACAAGATGTCTGTGAAGGTCATGGTTTTCCCAGATACAAGTGCATACTTGTACGTGGAGTGTGAGGTCAAGTTTAAGGATATGCCCAGGACAAGAAGACGCACGTGAAAGTTAAAGATTCACGTGCAATAAACAAACCGAGCAGACTCCACGGTCACGGACCTAAAATTTGCAGCAATAAACACGACTTTATTTGACAGAAGTTCTCTTGAAGTGTTATCAAGAAGCTTTGAATGAGGCAGTAAATTTCCTGTCCTCCCAGATAAATAGATTAGGCTCACCATCATACGTTGGGCGTCATGCAGTCTAGCTACTGACAGCGTCATCAAGTGAACAGAAAGAAAAGTTCGTTGGACGCTGCTCATCCATTCCCGTGGAACTAACGGGAGAAATATCCTCCCTTACACCTGATGGCGGAAACGGACCGAGCTTCAGAAGGTCGCCGCCAGGCGACGATATCCGGGATAACATTCATACTGTATAATGACGCGACTATTTCAACAAGCCTGGCCACTATTTGGGGGTGGGGGTGGCTGTACGTGATCACTAGACAGTGACGTAGAAACGTCATCATTAGAAAGTCACTGGAATCCACATTTTAATATCAATATATGAAGGGACAGCGGAGTCGGTATAGCGTCTGGTTACGGGCTGGACAGAGTTCGAGTCCTGGTGCCACCTGGGCAAGATGATGAGAAACGCTTCCACCTCTGGATGTCCAGCCCATGGTCCAGTAGCCGCCGGTTCTGTAAGTTCGTCTAAACAATCATTAAAAGCTAGTTCCACAAAGAAAACACACTGCGTCTTCGTTACTAGAAGTCAGCCGATTGGCACTGGATTGCTGCTACTTCCGACAATCATGCGAACCCAATGAATACATTAAAGTAGGTGGTGCATATATTAACCAGTGTTCTAAAGGTTTACATCGAGATCCTGATGTTTACCTTTGAGGACAGGGAAAGCCAGTTACGGGTAACGTAGAGGTAAAGTTGTCCATGTGCTTAACTAATTAAGCACTTCGCCATGAAGGCGTATGAGGGAGTGGATCAATAGATCCACATTTTCTTGACCTCGGCATTAACTGGAGGTGAGTGGTCGGCTTCACGCCCCCTGACGCCTTACCCCGGGAAAAGAGCCCCGGTATCCATTGGTTGGGTGGACCCCAGAGCCAGTCTGGGCGACTTGGAGAAGAGAAAATTCTTGCCCCCACCGGGACTCGAACTCCGATCCCTCGGTCGTCCAGCTCATAGCCAGTCGCTATACCGACTGCGCTATCCCGGCTCCTAGTAAAGGTATCCACGTAACAGGCCGTGGAGGCCGATAGGGTTGTGAGATGTTGAGGTTCCCACATTTTCTAGAAAATCGGCTCAGAGATGGCGGTAAG